CTTTGGGAAAACAGCAAAAGGGAGAATGTTGATTGTGGACAGTCAAGGGGCCAGATGGATTTGAAAGAATAGTTCTTATGGACTGTTTCAAATTTTATAAAAATACAGCTGAAGATTTTGGAATTAATTGTAAGTAAACTTACTGTGGGAAAGTTTTGACTTTGAAAATAAACAAAAGATAAGACTGGGCTTTGAAGGTTAACTAGAGAGAATCAGAGAACAATTAAAGGAGAAGACACCTACTAAGATAATGGAGGAAGATTATTTTACTTTTGATTATTTTACTTTGGAAGAAATAAAGTCTGTTTGGGAACAATGTACTCAGAACTTACTTGTAAAATTTTCTGATACTTTCAAAGTGGGTCTAATAGAGCTTATAGAATAAGAAAAGATTCTATTGGATAAAACTATTCTATTGGTTTATTATTGTGAGCCGCCCAGAGTCACCCATTGGGGGAGATGGGCAGCATACAAATTTGAAAATAAATAATTGTGAGCCGCCCAGAGTCACCCATTGGGGGAGATGGGCAGCATACAAATTTGAAAATAAATAATTGTGAGCCGCCCAGAGTCACCCATTGGGGGAGATGGGCAGCATACAAATTTGAAAATAAATAAAAAAATAAAATAAAAACAGAGGCTGAGGATTATTTGAATAGGGATCTTAAAATGGATTTTAAAGAATTGCCAGACTATAAAAGTTATATGGAAGATATGGAAAAAGATGTTGTGGACTTGAAAATGGAAATGTGTTTGACTACAAGAGTGATATTGAGGAAGAAATTACATTGGACCTACAAAGTATACTGTTTGATGTTTTAACAATTAAAGGGGACATTCAAGTTATAAATCAGAAAAGTAACTTTGAGAGTTATCTTATTTTAGATTCACAGAAGGGAAGTACTAAATCTCTGAAGTTGTTCCTGAAAACAGACAAGGATAAAATGATAGGAGATCAACCTGTGGGATTTTATCTGAAGGGGATTGAAGATCAAGCCTTTAAAAAGAAGGAGGAGTTTAAAGTGGACTTATTTGATCAGGTTTAAATTGTGTAAGTTATGATTTTGGGTTGTTATTACTGAAATCTTTTTTTTTTTTTAACCAGGATTGTAAGACAAGACTTTAAAGATTTTTTCATATGGGGATAAACTTTCTATGTCTTATTTGTTACAGAAAGTTATAGATTAGAATGTAAAAGGGACTTATTTGATTTAATTTAAAATATATACATTATTATTAGTAGTATTCTTTATGCTATGGGTATAAATCTTTTATGTTTTACTTATTAGAGAAAGTTATAAGTCAAAATGTAAAATGGACTTACTTAAGATTAAAACATATAGGTTATTATTACTGGTACTCTTAATGCTTTTGCTGAGTAAGATTGACTGATTTTTTTATAATTTGGCTATCATTAAGGGATGTGAAATGGGAAGAAGATGGTTTTTTTCTGTAATACTAGAGAAACTGTTAAGATTGCAAATGTTTATACTTGTTTGGAGGGGAGGGGGAGTCACTTTTTATATCTGTTTCTCTTTTTTCCTTTCTCTTTTTCTTTTTGGTTTATATATCTTTTTTAGTTCTGTATTACCTTTTATCTGTGTAAAACTTTAATAAAAATATTATTTAATAAATAAATAAATATTAGTATTGAGCAGTCTTTTCATAGATCACTTTGTTAATACTGAAAAAGGAAAACATCTTCAGCTAGTTCTTTCACCTCAGTTTATAGTTGCTCCTTTAACTGCAGTTTAATATAATAATGTAATATTTAGCAACCTGCAAGTGGTTATGTTTCATTCCATTACATAAAAGCAACCCTTACTTCCAAATAATATTGTGGAATGAGTCAGCCTTTGTTAGCTAGGGAAAAGATGTAGACAAGCAATATATCAACAGGGAATACTTACCTTTGCTTTTTGAAGCAAGCTGACCACACTCAGGCTTGTAGATGCTAATTCTCTACTAGGCATGCTCTGGAGTTGTGTAATGATATAAAGCTCGCAGATGTGCTGGAGCCTTGAAACCTGGTACATCTCAGCACATATTAAAAGTGACATGGCTTGCAAAATGCTGGCTGATTAAAAAACCAAACCCAGATTAAAATTGATGCAATAATTACATACCGATTTACATACCATATTAGTTTGTACTTCCTATGCCATGGATTTAGCATTAGTTTTTAAAGAAGCTTTGCCACTAAATATAATCTATTATAAAAATCCTTGAGGTTTGATATCTGTGAAATAGATCCTCATCCCATCTCTTCAGAATGGCAATGCCAAGGATTAATGCAATGCATGTTTAAATATGATGCTTTCATTTCTTCACACCCAAACACATACCATAAAAGTCACTTGCAAATTAATAAACAAAGTTTCCTTCTTGATGTAAAAACAAGTTGTATAAAAACTTTTATTCAACATACATGCATTTAGCCTATTTATGTCTATTGGAATCTGTGTGAATTAACTAAATTTAAATCCCATTAATTTTATTTTAATGAATAAAGATTTAGATTTTTAGGAATCTCATTTTAGGATACAATCAAGCTTTAAGAAGTACCTCTTTCTGACTACTATTGCTAATGTGTTGTTGAAATATTTTACTATCATTTAATCTTAATCTTAAGTAATAACAGAATGTTCAAAATTATTTATATCCAAATGCAAAAATCAATATATTTGCAGCTCTCTGAAAATCAAAGCCAAGATTTTCAGTCCAAGAATTCCTGTTTGAGCTATCACAGTATATTACGCTATTCAAAAATAAACCCACTAGGTTTAATATAACTTTTCCCCAATATCTGTGATTAGCATTGCAGCAATGTAATACAGTTCTATGCATGTTTATTTTTCAAATATTATGTTCAGTGGGATTTACTTCCAGCAAAATAAGCTGAGGATTGCATCCTAAGTCAGTCATGAAAAAGAATTGCAGAAATAAGCCTTTTCCTGCTTCCAAATGAAAGAACAATCTGATATACCACAAGCATATGAAATTTGAAAGTAAAGTAATAATTTAATATTTGCATACCTGGACAACAGGAGTCTGTATACAGATACTCTAGAAAAGATAGAAATGTATCTTTGGAAATTCCATAAACTGGAACCAAAAAACTATTTGATTCAATATAGTTGCCATTAAACATAGCTGCCATTACTTCACAGCGAGCCACCAGGACTGCTTTGTGAGCTGGTACTGTAGTACCTATAAGGAAAGAAGTAGGATGAAAACAATATCATGTGAGTCAGGCAGCATTCAATTTTTGGTAAGAAATAAATAAATGCTTCTGCTGCAAAATATGTATAAAGAGCAAGACTGATCAAGCATCAACATTTCAAGAAAAACCTCACACTTCACCTCACAAGGTGAATAAATCTATAGTTAAACTTGGTTTATGGTAGTTTATAACTGCCTTCCCCAATGTGATACACTCCAGCTGTTTTGGGACTGCAAATTTCCAGCCAACAGGTCCCATGCTATGCTGGATGAGAAATCTGGGTGTTACAATTCTAATACATCTAGAGGGGTATTCTGAAGCAGGATGATTTACAGCAATGATTTTATTAACACAGCAGTCATATACTATTCATTCCAATGTAGTTTTATCCTAGATAAATGTATATAGGAATTCAGATTTAATGGAATCTGTATCCACAATCTGTTTAGCATAAAATATTCTGTTTTGTGAATCTACTCCAACTGCCTTTATTATATCTAAAATTACTATCTTCTATATGTTAATTTTGTGATTCCTATTCAATTTAGTGGGATTTTTTAGTAAATATACTTCAAAATAAACCATACTATGGCTCAAAATCCATTCCTAAATAATGCTGCTCCTGTGCATGTGCCTCAGATCCAAGATTGGTACTGCAAAAACAAGTTAGCTTTGGAAATGTCTATTCTCATTAATTAACACAGTAGCAATGCCCAACACAAATTCTACCTCTTTCTCTAAAGGAAAGTAAAGAATAGACTGAAAGACATTTATTTTGCAGGTACAATGGAAAGCTCCAATTAAGCAGGCTATTTTTCTGAAAATGAAGTTGCCGCGAAGCACTTTGACATTTGATCTACTGTTATGGGGGAAAAAAACCTTTTAAATATTGCCCAACATTTCCTATTTATAATGCATTATTCCACAGCAATATATTCCAGCAAAGGTATTTATCTATAAGCACATTCATGCATGGTACTCACTAATGACTATTTAAGTGCCATCATCATTTATTCATCAAGGTCAGAACAATACTTTGCACATCCACAAAAGTATTCCCAATTATTACTTCACATATTCAGCTGAACCCTGTCATTAAAATGATTTTGGAACTGACTAATGTATTTCTTGCCAACAATTCAGTCATCATAAATAGTATGCAATTTTCATTCTTCTGTGCACTACATTCTATCAGCCCCACAAGGCAGACCAGAGCAGGAAATCAACTCCACAGGAAGGCTAAACTACCTTTACTGAGATTGGTTATAATAACAGAATCTTGCAAGTCTGGTCGTGCTGTACCTCCCCTCACTCCCCTCTCCCCACTTCTTATACTCCAGTGAATCAGGGAGGTGTTTGCTTGAGCCACTTCCAAATATTATCTTGTTTCTCAGGGCTTCAAAAATGTTTCAAATTCTTTTGCCTAGGTAGGAGTTCTTGAGCATGAAACTGAGCAAACTCAGGGAGGCAGTGAAGGACAGGAAGGCCTGGCGCAATATGGTTCATGGGGTCACGAAGAGTCGGACACGACTTAACGACTAAACAACAACAAGGAGTTCTTGTGTATTTCTGTCAAGGTCATCTTCCTTACGCTCTGCACATTCTTAAAGTATATTAAAAGAGATTCCCTTTTTAATTTCTCTAAGAAGGGCTTTCTTTAACATACAAAATATTAAATATTTTCATTGTACTCTGTTTTTAGTAGACCATGGCACCCTGGTTAATATTACTTCTTTTCTCTTTGGAATTCTGAGACAAGCAATGGCACCCATTGTTCCTTCACTTCCTACACAAAATGTCCAAAGATTAACCTTTAAAACTAAGCAGTCTCTTTCACCAAGCTATGCGGTTGCATTTTCTTCTCCTTTCAAAGGATTGTTTGTTTTTAGTTTGGGCTGAGGATTCTTTTCATAATAAAAGGATATTCAAAAAATTTGTGACTTTTCCAAATTGAAACCAAAGTAATTAAACATCATTTAATTAAATAACAATTTAAAGTCAATAAAAGCTCTTGTTATTACCCTTATGTGTGCATATGGACAAAAGCAGCTAAAGGCAGAATTTTTGCTCATAATGTGCTTAAGTATCACTAAAGTCAATGAGGATGTAATGATACACAGGATGCCCCTCTCCTCAGGTTTTTGATTGGCAACACAACAAAGTAATACAAAAATAAGTGTCCAAGGAATGAGATTTTGTTTTTCAGTTAAACACTCAGTTTTGTGGAGTCCTTGGGGTTCTCTGAGCTTGGTTGTTTTCTTGCAAACGTTTCCTTACCCCGCTAGGTAACATCTTAAGTGCTAGAATGGAATGGGGTTCGCTCTGTTTATATACTGTGGCATGGCCCTCCCCGGTGGGGTTTAGGGATGGTTTTTTTTTTTTTTCCCTCTTGTTTTTTTTTTCCTTTTTATTTTTTTTTTTTTTTTTTTATATAAAAAAAAAAAAAA